CTTGTATGTTGGTGTTGTGAGAGTATATGTCTTGAGTTGTGTATGTTGTCTCTTTCCTTGAGTGTATTGCCTAAAAAAGAAATTTCTAAGAAGATTTTTTTATTCTAGTTAAATAACCTTTTTATAATATGATATTAAATTTTTTTTTTTTAATTGTCAGCTCAGCTATGTTTATTAGCAATAATAGAATAAAATTCCAAATACATTGAAATTATTGCAACTATTAAAAATGTTATTAAACTTTCTAAAACCTATTAGTTTACTGAAATGCATGTTGCTGCTTCAAACCTGGAGAGACTAATCTAAAATTACTCTTAAACTAGTGCAAGAATAAAAAGAAAAACACCAGGACACTGCCGAACGAGAACCTAAATTTTTTCTACTACTGACTATCTACTGAGACTAATACCAAGGTGAAGTCAATACCTATGAATTATTCACTGAAGTACTGGGTATCTTAATCTTTGAAAGAGAGAGGGTGTGATTTCTTCTACATCTTCTTTTTCTTTCAGACAGGAGGGGAATGGTTTTAAAGGTCAGCTTTATTAATATTATCTCATCTGAAAGTCTGCCTAGAGGACTACTCATTTAAAGATCAGATGAGACCTATAATCAAAAGGGTGCCTTAAAACCTGTGAAGGGGTTGACGATCCAATTTTAAAGATAATACCAGCTTCAAGCATAAGCTACTTATTTAAAAAGGTGCAACTCTTCCAAAGTCGGGTTAAGTCTTTAGGGAATCTTTCAATCTGGCAATAGTTTCCAACAAGTACTTTCACTAGAGTAAGATTGATGGGTACCACTGGTGGCCGAAGTAGCCATACTTGAAGGGGAGTTATATTGAAAGTCTGGATATTGATCTTCAGTTTGTGATTCTCCTACAAATCATAAATCAGAAATAAAAAAACCCGCCGACTGGAAAAAACTTCTTGTCCACCTTGTTTGTTTTTTATAAAAATTATACAGATCTTTGCCTATCTGTAAGAACTACTAGAACCTACTTGACTATCAAGAATAGATAACTTCAATACTAAAAACGATTGAAGTATCTTGTAACCTTTACTATGGTTGAATGGACTCCTTTTCTTTTCGATTTTGTTGGAGGATGCAGTTTCAATAGATAGGCCTAAGTATATACAGTCCTTAAAGTGCTTATACTTGATTAAGTTAATGACCGCAATAAGAGCAACACTTATTTGCAAGGATGGTAATATGAAAGAAAACACGTGAAACATGTATATGCCTTGTTTATCTTTTGTTATTGATGGCATTATCCAACTTCAAATCTCTAGCCAATGAAATTTCAGCAGATCCGGTATAACAAAAAATTCAGGGTCAGAGGGGGGTAGGCAAAATTCTCTCAAAAAAACTGAAAATTTGTTTATATACTTCAGGAAGCTTGGGGTCTAGTGAATTTTCTAGAAAATAAGACCACTGCGCACGGCATAGCCTTTGGTAAATACTCTTCCTGTAAACCTGCCTGCCCTATTATAAAGTTCTGAAAGGAAGTCTTCGATCAAAAGTCTTCTTCCTAAGTATCCTTTCTTGTCATTAGGAGTTCAAGTTCTACTTCATTTACCTTTGACTTGAAACCAACACTCAAATCAATCAGAGGAATGAAGAAAAGATAAAACTGGGTAAGAGATGCTTTGTAGTATATTTACAAAGTGTATTTAATAATAGTGTAGCAACTTTATTAGTACAGAAATATAAAACTTCTGACGCATATTGCTTTGAAATTGGTGGTAAAATTGATTAGTAGAAAGAGTTTTTTTATAATATGATATTAATATTAATTATTATAATAAACAAATCTATATATTAATAAAATAATAATTTTCTCTTAAAGTTTCATTATTTAGAAATAATCAAGTTTTTTAAATATTATGAAATTAAAAAATATTTCAATTAAATAAATTCTTTCAAAAGAATGTTATTTAATAGATTAAGAACTTTTTGAAAAAACTTTTTTTTTTTCAATTGTTACTTTAGTAATTTATTATTTTTTGAAATAATCAATAGTAACAAATTTTTAATAATGATTCTAATAGCTAGAAGTCAAGTACCAAACTACTAATATTGTTCTTTAAATCTAACTTAGAGTATTTAATTGAGACTTAATCTTGTTTAATTCAAACTAGCATAATGAACATATATTTTTTAAGTAGTATAATCCTTTAATTAATAATATACAATGATTATTGAAAATTTGCAATTTATTGAATACTTTACTTACTTAATGTTTCAATAAAGACACGTCATAATGGCATGATTGCAGATTAAAAAAAAAAAATTTAAAGAAAAACTTAACGAAAATCAGAAATAGGTATAAAAAATTTTTAATGATAAATAAAAGTAAAAAAAATCATTTATATTCTAGAATAAAATTTGTATAAACTTTTAAAACGATCATACAGTATATACTTTTAATTTTTGTTTACATAAAACGAGTTTGAACTTAATAAAATTACAAAAAATACTTTGCTGTTATTTTTTCAATTGTAAATTTCCAGTCTTTTGTTTAATTACATTTCGTAAAATAATATGTTGCATAAACTTGTTTAAGGAATTAAATGAATTTTAATTCTTGTAAGCAATTATAGTATATATAAAATGGGTAGGACAAGGTTATCCACTGATTAAACAGTCGTTTTCGATTTGATTACGTTTCTCTTTACCCACAAGTTGTTCGACGATTGTTAACGCGAAGAGGAACGTAGTACCGGGTCCACGACTACATTGTAAAATAATCACATTTACTGTGTCATTCATTAAAAAATAAGATGAAGTGTAATTACCTAGTGATAACTTTGTTATCGATCACAACTGATTCTTCCTGATACATATAATCTAGTTATTCAAATAAATTTAATATTAGTTAAATTTTGAATGTAATAAAGAAAAGAGCAACATAAACATAACCATTCTCTAATTCCTCTTTAAAGGTTTGGTAGGATGTAATCTTTCCTCCTTTGTTAATTCCCGCGGCCTTTATTGCAAATGGCCCTGTTACCAAATTAGAATAATTGATGAGAGTTGTTTTTATGAAAAATGTTATGTATATTCAAATACCAGCACAAATTGCGGCAATAATTTTTCCTGATTTATAGGCAGAAGACAACAGGCTTTGAACGCCGGCATTTGATGATATAGTTTCTGCACCCTTAAGACCACCGGGGATGATAATGGCATCATATGCCGAAGCATCCTTTAAAATGTACCAAGACTTGTTATTAAGTAACCATGTGAGAGTTTGGAAAATGAATAAATACATACTAAACTGGAAAAATCCTTAATTATAAGATCAGGTTTAATATTAACACCTCGGTTGCACGTCGCGAATTCGTCTACTTCGACTCCAGCTACTAACACTTCAATTTGAGCGCGTCGCAGAATGTCAACTTGGTTTTATTTAAAAAAATCAATTATTATTATATTTTGTCTTATAAAGTTTCAAAAACAACTTATAAAAATGTAATATACTTGAGATTACTGCCTCCATTTCTTCCGTGCCATTTGCTATCAATACAAGAACCTTCTTCTGAGAACCCATTTTCAAAAATGAGCGTGAGACTCGGGATCGATATCACTTATATAAAGCAATAATTTAATCATATGTCATATTCCATGTAATGATGGGCATATAAAATTTTGCAGATCACTTATTCCTTTTTAAGGAAAAAATTCATAGATAGCTCTTTACTTTAATAGGGAGAAAATGTTATAAATCAAAGGTTTTAATGATAGAGAATTATCTTGGATAGTTTTTTTATTAAAATTTTTAATATTTCCTAGTGAGGGATATTTGACTTCTGATTTTATCTTTTTCTTTAATAAAATATTTTTATTGAAATATTAAATGAACATTTACTATCTTATATTGACTATTATATAACAACTAACTTGTTATACATTATTAGTTTAAAAATTCATTAAACTAAACAAAATAAAGTCTCAATTAAGTATTAAAAAATATTTATCTAAAAGTCTTAACTTTTTTATTAATAAAGTTTTAATATTTTATTGATTTTTTTTTTTTAATACTCTAGGTACATATGCTTTATTAAACATTTGTATACTATATATTTTAAATGATTTGCTAAAGCTAAGACTTTACCTAACTCACTCATCCCTGTTTTGTCTTAATATATCAAAGCTCTAAGTGCAACTTCAGGAGTGATTTATTGCTCCATTAATGGTTCAGGTGAATATCCTTTCAATCCTTAACATTATTACTCACAAATCACCACTGCAAATCACTATTCATTATTTTGACCAAGCTTAAAACCCAATCACTTCATTCCATAAGTAACACCTTTGTGTAGAATTTTCTTTTAGGCTTTCATTTTCTTGAGTTCCTTTCTCTGATAGAAGATCTTTATTTTTGGGAACTAATGGTTTTAAGCTATATATGTCTGAGTGTTAGTTAATTTTTTTTACTCTGTGGATCCCCTGTAAATATTCCTATTCAATTATCTTCTAATATCTTTTGTTCCAAATCTTTTTCCTTATTTGGTTGCATACTCTTCTTTGCATCTTTAATATCCATCTTCTTGCATTATTATTAATTCTTTTTCCATGGTATTTCAGATCTGCCATTTTTAGGATTAGGTCTCTTCTTACTAGCCCTATGTAAAAACTTGGAATATTCTAACTGGTTTTTGAAGTCTGTTCTATCAGTTTAGAGATCTATTTATTCAACTTAGCCATTTCTTCTTCATTATGGATAATCAACCTTGCATAGTTTTTTTTTGCCTCTTTTTTTTTCTCTTGTAAGAGCTCTCTAAAGTCTCTAAGAATCTCATTTTGTCCTTTATTTCATGCTTCCTATAATTGTTTTTTGTATACTGGACACTCTAGTAAATGTTCGAAAGTTTTATTTTGTTAGCTGCATGTAATACACTTCACTTGTTTGTAAAGGTCGGGCCTTCTAGTTGCCAGCTTGTTCAGAGTAGGTAGCTAATCATTTATTAGTTTTATGAGGAAGCTTTTTCACTGTGATTGTTTAAAGAAAGTGTTCCAGGTGTATTCTTCTTTCATTCTTTTTCATACAAGGTTCCAAGTATAATCTTGCTGTTCTATAATTTGATAACTCCATCTTTTTTCCATTCTATTTTGTTGTGTTCACTGGAAGACAATTGTTTTATTGTTTATTTTTTTGACAAACTGTCTTATTGGGTCATTCAGTATATTTTCTTGTTATCTAATTTTTGTAATAATCTTGTATATGAATAGCTCTTTCCATTCTATTACTGGAAGTTTCAGAGCTTCTTTGGCTAGAACATCTGTTTCTTTATTGTGAGGATCATTGGAATGTGTCTTAACCTTGATAAGTTGCAGGTTTATGGTTTTTTTCTTTACAATTCTAATATTCGTACTCATAGGGATCAGTTTTTTTTCTTTAACTATCTTTTGTAAGTTCACTTTGGATCTTCTCTTTCTATTGTTTACCACTTGGAGATACAGGCCTGACTATCTGTATAGATTTTCACATCACTACCTACTGGAACCACCAAAAGTATTGTGACAATTGCTACAAGTTCTACACATGTTGAAGAGAGCCAACTGTCTACTCCTGTCTAAAAACTACTTTCTCTACCCATATCTCCTAACTGGATCCATACTACTTCCATTTTCATTTCTTTCTTTCCATGATTAATAAGTGATCCATTGAAGTAAAAGATTAGTTTTTTAATATTGAATCCCAGGTTACATTAAAGTATTTCTATTATATGGTCCTGATATACTTCTTCTGTAACATTGTCTCTAATGATAATCTCTTCCCATTTTTTAATATTTACATGATTCACTATATTGGTTGAAGCTAAGGTTTGAGAATTTGAATCCATGTTAGTAACCTTTTCTATTGTCCCCTCTAGTGATGCCTTGGAGTAGGGGATTATTAATTCTTGAGCTCTTCTGGTTGACTTTCTTGTATTGAGATATGAAACTTCATATATATCATTCTTTTTTTTCTTTAATATACATCCCCCTTCTTATCTTATATCCTCTGGGTATCCTGGGCACCTTATTAATATCGTTATTTGAATATTATTATTATTACAGCAGTTAAAGTGTTCAACATTAACTTTATGTCCTACTTTTGTCTGTTGTAGTTTTCCCCAGATTATGTGATGCTCTGCTTTCTTTGTAATTATCTATGGTTTTGTCATTTATCATGATCTGGATTAATTGCAATATATTCTGGTTTCCACTTTGTCCAATCTCTTTTTCATGTATTCATGAGTTGGTTTACCCTATTACTTGGAAGAGTTTTGATTAAAGCTTGAAACCATTTAGGAATGGAACCTTTACTAGTGTTTTGAAGTAGTTGAAGTATTTGCCAATTTCTAATTTCTTTAGTAGCTTGATCAATTAGTTGATCTATATACAGCAGTTTATTGTTTCTTAGTGATAGTATAACTTTTTTATATTCTTCTAATGTAAAATATTCCTTAATTAAACTATTTTCCTTGCTCCGTTTGAAGATTTCTTGCCATTTTTAACTGTGAAAGATTATTCCTATGTCTTTAGCCAACTTTATTACTTGAAGCATGAAGTTTCCTTTATCTGATAGATAATTTAGGGAGTTGCATGTTAATAGGTTAAGCGGTTTCCAATTTTTTATCTATGTTTGTTTGGAAAACATATAGATGCAACTCTTTCCACTGATCCTCTAACCACACACAAAAAAGACATTCGCAGAAGTCTTGTCACTTCTATACTAATAAAGTCTTAATACTTTCTTTAAACCAACTTGAAGAGGTTTTACTCAAGACTCCATTACTTCACTTCATATTGTCTACAATCTTCTATGAACAACACTGGACTCTTATGGCCTGTAAAGTTTAGCACTCACCTTGACTATCAATGGCAAGAAAGTTTCTCAAGGAAAAAGGACCAATAGCAGAGTACCTGCCACCTGTTAGATGAAGTGGCGGAACAAAACAGTACCTGAAAGAGGGTCTCTCCTATCCAAAGGACTCATTTTCCACCCTTTGAATGGTTGTGTGCCCTCTTAGAGCTACCACTTTTCACGGCTTCTTCGGGAATTTTGTCTATCCTAGCTTGACCCTGAAATTTAAGGTAGCACAAATTCCATTGATTCTGATTGGTCGACATGAAACGCGTTAGACAAGATTGATAAACAAGCTTTTATTGGCCACCTTACGTGTCTGAATGCATTTCCTCAGCTCCATAAGAACCTGGGATCCACCATAAGTCATGTGCTGGTGCAGGTGGATACAGGATACTGCAACCTTCTAAATAATTGGTCATCAAGAAAAAGTAAACAAGCCCATAGACTGTTCCCCCCATGGACTGTATGCAAAGACAGACCTGACTACCCACAAAAACACAAGGATCATACAACACAATTTCTCAATAGATGGGTGACAGGAGCTCCATGACATAAGACCACACTCTAGTCAAGACACAGGACAAATCCATATTTTTTTTTTTTCTTTTCAGTACTAACAAGGTCTTCAGACCTTGTATAAGACACCCCCAACACCGATGGTGCTGGGCATCTTAGGCAAGTTCTTGGCATATTAGTTTTTCCAAAAGAGTAGCAACAAGCTGTCCCATGGTATCCCCTAGAAAGCATCAGTTTGTGATGAGGAAGTACAATTTGTGGCTCATTATTTTGGTAACATACATCCACTTCCTTTCAACTTTGTTAAGAATTAAGAGAAATTCTACACTAGATGATAATATAGTTCCCCTATTTTGGTTAGGGGAGATGTAAATAGATGCCCCTTGTACTATTCGTTGATCTGTAAATCCTTAGACAATACGGGTAACTAGTAATTCCAGTTGTCTCTAGAATATATCTTAATAATTAATAAAGGTACCAACCTGACGCAAGGATGAGCTAGCGTTAAAAAAAAAAAAAAATCTATGTTTGATTAAGTCAGATAATTGTTGTAATTCTTACGGAACCAGGATCATTTAATCTATTACATAATCCTGTTATTTGACTTTTTCGCTGGAACATCTAGATTCTTTTTAGATTATAAATCTTTGGATGATGTATTACACTATTAGGTATAGATCTATGTATATAGGGTACTCTTGTTTTTGAAAAGCTTTTTATATACTGCCATTAGAGTGTTATATATTTTCCAGGATAGTATACTATACTGTATCCTGAATCCTATCCTTGGAATTAATATCCTGTTTAGAATATACAGGGTTTATTTATCTGTTAATTTTTTGCTTTTAAGAGCTTTGATATCTATGTTGATCTCTTTTAGTATCCTCTTTTTGAGTTCAACTGCAGTTTTTTGATTGCTGGTTCAGATTCCTAGAAATCTTATATGTTTTGCCATGCTGAGCTCCTTTATCACTTCTTTACCTAAACTTCTTCTGGATAGCAATTAGAATTGTTAATAGTAATTAGGACTAATTTATTACTATTGATTTGGAAATTGTTGACTTTGTAGAAGACTCTCGCAGTTTCAAGAATTTCTTTCATATCCTTTTTGGATCTTGCTATTTATATTGTATTATTTATAAAGGTTATAGTCATGTATCTTGATTCTAGCCTTCTTG